AAGGCAAAAATGTAATTAATTCAGAAAATCTTTTCAGGACCCCACCTTGATGTTTCGGGACCCCGCTTTGGGTCCCGACCCCAACTTTGGGAAACACTGGTTTACTTCACTGTGAATGTGAAGCAAAACATCCCATAACCAACTAGACAGAATTTAGTGAAACTTTCAGAAACTAAATGTTAGATATACATCTATTACTAATTTACTACTGAAGTCAGCACAGTTCATAATGGCTGCTTCAACTAATTGAATTAAAAAAAATACACAAAAATAGCCACTTTTACAAACACTGAGCTAAAATTGGGTGTGGTAGTAACTGAGGTAAAATGAAATGTAGTTTTAGCTGAGAGCTCCAGCACACACAGGCCTACTCTAAGCAGTGTTGTATAAAGTACCTCAAAGTGATACTTGAGTAAAAGTACAAGTATCTCATCATAAAAATACTTTGGCAAAAGTTAAAGTACTTTCTAAAAATATTGAGTAAAAGTCTTAAAGTAGCTGATGTTTTTCGTACTTAAGTATCAAAAGTACATTTCTGACACAAAATCTACTTAAGTATTAAAAGTAAAAGTACTGAGTAAAAGTGAGCAGTTAGATTTTACAAAATGACATTTATTGGGAGGTGACTTCTCCAAAAAATATATTTTCTAACAGCGTGCAGCAGTGATGGGTTGTGTACATTAATAGTGTGTCAGAATGGTTTATATTTATACTTCTCATCCAAACACAATTAAATTCACTCTATGAGGCACAGTTTATCAACTCGGAATAAAATAGGAGAAAAGATTTTCTACTTCTTACCTTTTTTTTAAATATAGTGAGTAGAAAGTACAGATAACTGTGTAAAAATGTAATGAGTAAAAGTAAAAAGTACACTGAAAAATAATTACTCAAGTAAAGTACAGATACCCAAAAATTCTACTTCAGTGCAGTAACAAAGTATTTGTACTTAGTTACTTTACAACTCTGACTCTAACTGTGACATTTAACAATATTACATGAGATTGTGCACAATGTTATTTTAAAGGTTTGACAACTCTGTCATTTTTCAAGATAAAATGATATTTGTCTGAAACCTTTCCATGAAAAGCAGAATATACGTTTCAGGTCTTTTGATGTCATTTGCCATTTGACCCACTTAATACTTTTTTTTGATAAATCAAAATTATTCACCCTTAAGCTTAAGAGCGTTTGACAAAATTGATTTTGTTTCAAAAGGAATCGCTTACATAAATTAAAATGTTGAGAAATCTTAAAGGTTTTTTTTTATTTTATTTTAAAATTTTAGCACCACTTTAAGGAAACTTTTATAAATTGATGAAATTTAAATTAATTACAAAGTTTTTACAGTCCTTTCTAAAACKGTTGTATAACTCTGTTCATATGTTGAAGTATAGGTTCATTATTTGACAAGCTCGTGTCTTGCTTTTTTATTTGTTTTTTCATAATTTAAATTTTTAAAAACATTTTCTGTATGTATGTAGTGTATCAACATACAGTTCATTTTGGAAAATAGGTATTTAGCTAAAAATATAAGCTTAGCAGTGACCTATAAAATAAATTGCAATAACACAAGAAAAAAATTAACACTATCCTGCCAAACAGTGTTTTATTAACACTGTTTAGACCAAGCTCAACCAATCAGAAGTCAGCAGACATTCAGACCACATTGGCAAAATATTGACTTTAGACTTGACATTAAATTGTTAAAAAAAGGTTGATTTGCAAAAGCACTGGAAAGAAGTGAGTCCATCTTAAGTTGGAAAAAGATGCAAAGCAGTTCTTTGCTCTTTCAGAGTATAAAAGATACTGTATACATGAAGAATGAGAGGTGCAGATGTTGTTTTTAGTGTGTTCTTTGTGCAAAAAATTAATTGGTTCTGAACAGTTTGTTGTTCCTATTAAAATCACATTTTAGACGCTGCATGTTATTTTCTATATTTTTCTTAGATATCCAATACAAGACAGCACGTCATCCTGAAGACTGAAACTTGGTGGGAGGAAGATGGRTCTCTGGACTTTTGCACACCATTTTACACTCACAAAGCCACTTTCTGCAAGTTATGAGGAGTGCTGTTACGCACGTGCATAAGTAACTATAAAAGATCTGAACTCCTCCACTGGTGCTGGAGTACCTGTGTTGGCCAGTAGATGAAGACAAAAATAAAGACTTGTTCATGTCAAACAGGAGCCATATTATTTTAGCCCTTTAATGTTTGCCTGTGGGTATTAATCTCCTAGAAGTAGGAGTTTTAAACCATTATAACAAAACCAACAACTTAAACACCAGTGTATATGTTTAACATTGTATTTAGATGTAATATTTCAATTTAGAAACAGGTTTTTGGAGCATTAGACTCCGCCCAACACAACCGGCTCCAGTCAGCTGAGTTTGACCGGTTTCCTCCAGTTCCTCCTAAACAAACATCTCTTCACTGCATCATGTAGTTATTTGGACCTGTTTGGCTCGTATGGGAGAACATCTTCTTCCTCTACTAGAAAAGGAGAAACTGAGAGGAACAGCAGGTAAGAAGTTGTTGCTTGTTTTAATAGGACACAGCTGGTCCTCATGAGACTAAAAGCTTCTGTAGACAACTTAACYAGGTCATCTCMTGCAGTGATTTTTAGAGTTTAAAGWGAAAAACTGAACAGTGAAAACTTAACTCGTCCACCAGAACAAATCTTAATCTTTGTGAAGGACCTGGGCAGGGTCAGATCACACCCTGTGGACCAGGTTCAGTGAAAGGTTCGGATCTGAACTGCTTTTAATTCCTTTCTGTACCTGTTTGTCCACATGCCTGCTCCTTGCATCCGCCGTCCTCAGATTTGTGTAAACACAGATAAACGTGGTGTAAATATTGGAGGAATTCAGAATCTGAAAAGAACCTCAGCTGCAATGTTTGAGAGTTTAAATGAATTAGGGACTTTCTGACCATTTTGACCTGCTGTAGAAATCTGAACAACAAGGCTGACTCTGACAGGGAAGAGGAGCTTGAAGAAGACAGTCTGCAGACACATTTCAGAGAGGTTCATGTATATTTTGCAGTTATTTTGGCAAAAAAAATGTAAWCCCTGTTAGAATTATCTTTAGCTCCACTTTTGTCATTTATGTTTGCAAATAACCTCTGAAATCGATGTAAAAGACGGCAGGAAATTCAGACATTTTTAAATGTTTCTTATTCGTTAACTCGACATCCTGCGTCTATCCTCCTCAGGGTTTTCTGTCCACCAGGCGTCATGTCGGCTGAGATTCTGCAGCTGAGTGTCAAGCACCTGAGCCGACTCCCTCGCCTCTCAGATCTCGTCTCTTCCTCCCTGCCGTCGCCGCGCCCCACCGTGCCCGCCTCCAAGGTCCCTGCTCTCTTCCAGGAGCCCTACATCCTGTCGGGCTACCGGCCCATCCAGCAGGACTGGCGCTGCTACTTCCTCAGCCTCTTCCAGCGGCACAACGAATCCTTGAACGTGTGGACTCACTTGCTGGCGGTGCCGGTGCTGCTGCTCCGCTGGTGGGCCAATGCAGGTGCCCTGGGGTTCGCCTTGGACGCGGCCTCTCTGCCTCTCAGCCTCTTCATGGTGTCTGCTCTCACGTACCTGAGCCTGAGCGTGGCCGCTCACCTCCTGCAGTCCCGCTCTGAGCGTGCGCACTACTTCTTTTTCTTCATGGACTACGTGGGCGTAGCTGCGTATCAGTACGGCTGTTCGCTCGGACATTACTTCTACACGTCTGAGGCGGCGTGGAGGGCCGGCGTCGGGCTCTTCTTTCTACCCGGAGCTGCGTTCTTCGGCTGGCTCTCCTGCGCTGGCTGCTGCTTTGCCAAGTCCAGGTACGAGCGTCCGTATCCGCTGCAGCGTAAAATCTGCCAGCTCATCCCCACCAGCCTGGCCTACCTGCTGGACATCAGCCCCGTCGCCCACCGCCTGCTCACCACCTCCTGGACGCAGGAGGCCTTCCACGCCCTACAGATCGTCTCATTCCTTTTTGCTGCCTTCTTCTTCTCTTGTCCCGTCCCTGAGTGCTTCTTCCCAGGCCGCTGTGACTTTGTAGGCCAGGGTCACCAGGTCTTCCACCTGTTTCTGTCCCTGTGCACCCTGTTCCAGCTGGAGGCTCTGTTCCAGGACTACGCCCGGCGGCGGGACACGGTGCTGGAAGTGTTTGGAGAGAGGCAGCTGTGGTGGGCCTGCATGTCCTTCCCAGGACTGTTAATATGTTGCGTCCTGACGGCACTGATCGCAGTGAGGCACACTAACAAGAAACTGCTGCAGGAACAAGAGAAAAACAAGTGATAGTTGAGTCTGAGTGAGCAGAATCTAGGGATTTTAAATAATTTTGACAATAAAACTTTTTAAATGTTTAATTCTGTGAAAAAATTGTAGGTCTTTAAAATATTTAAACAATAAAATGAATTAAGACAAATCCTGGTTTTTGTGCAAATTATTGGGTCATTTAAAATTCCAAAGGCTTTGAATGAAAGAAATGTTTGAGTGGACGTCATTGTTTGCAAAGCTCAGCTCAATCTTTCACCGTGAATTAACCTGCAGCTTAATCAGTTCAGAGGCTGTTCTGGAGAAAAAGCTGCAATGAAACCCTAAATTTATTATTTTTCTTCTTTAAAAGTGTTCACATAATGAAAAACCTGGCWTAAAAACAAATAAGAGAGCAGGATGGAAAATTGGGCCTTTAAATGACTGAAATGTACTTTATGTTGTCTGATTTATTTTACCATCTAAACCAAATTCATTGCTGGATGCAAAGAATGTTGTTGTTGTTGTTATTGTTACAAATTTGTTCATTTCTGCTGCAGCTTTAGAAAAGCCTAAACAGCAAAACCTCTATCAAAATGTGGCTGTATCCTGAACAGCTGTGTTATTTGTGGTAGCAGCACACTAACATGTAGATGAAATATAAATAACAAAAATCAATAATAGTTTAATTTTTGTGACAAAACTTTGCCCCTAGTGGAGCTCAGACAGACTTCAGAGTCAAAACATCAAAGTTTAAATGAGTTTCAGAAAGTTCGACTTTACATGGCTGATCAGGTATTTTAATATCTTTTAATCTTTTCCACTTTGTTTTATAATTTATATTTATGTTTAACTTCATGTGATGAACGGTCTGAATTAATGTTTCCTGTTTCTCTCAGCTTCAGAGGGTACAGTATGTTGTTTCCTGTCTTTTTACTGACATGAAAGTTTGAAAGTTTAGCCTCCCTGCACTGACTGCACKTACATTTTAGAATCCATTTAAAAATATTTTATTGGGTTTAAAGCTCTTAATGACTCTGCCCTGTCTGTCTGAACTGCTGCATCCCTACAAACTCTCTTGATTTGAACATCATTTGTTATGTTGACTTTTAAATTTTTTTTTAAAGTTTTGACTGATTGAACAAATGTTTTATTATGTGTAGCACGTATTGGGTRTAGTGCTATAAAGCTGGTACTGTATGGTACAGTATGAGACCCACCAGCACACCTTAATGACAATTCTGGACCCAAATCAAGCAAAACTTTCAACTTGTAAAAAAAAAAGAAAGAAAAGGTACGGTTTGACCAGCAAGTGGTAATAATATAGAAGAAATGTTCTCTTTCACTCTCAGTTAGCTGCGTTTTAAACAAAACAGAGTCTCCTCAGTGACTCCACACTTCTTAACAAACTTGTTTCATCTACAAACATGAAATTAAAACATCCAAATACTGAGAAGTCGGCTCAAAATATGTGGCTTTAACTGACTGAGTACCCAAACAAACAATAGCTTAGTAAATGATTCAGTTACATATTGAGGCAATTAAGACAGATCAATCAGAAAAAGTCTTACATTTTCTGCAGACAAAGTCCTGTGACCCACCAGTTGATTATCACTGGTCTAAACTATCTGAAGTTTTGGCACATAAACAATTTTTTCTACAAAACTGCATGTGAAGGGTCTTTTTAACTTGTTATATTTCCAACATCCAGCACTGTAGGAACATGAAAACTGATGTGTGATGAGCAGACCCAGAACAGATCCAAACAGGCAAAACACACATTGCCAAGTGGCTGGAATACAGGAGCATCTATAGATGCTGGAGCTCCTGCAGTTAAAGAGGAGGAATGRCAGGACTAAGATACTGTGGGACTTCTGGAACCTGCTGATGGCTAACAAACCGGACATTGTGGTTAACACGCTACAGAAGACGGCAATGGTAAATGTGGGTCCCACGTGACTAAGATTAGGAAGAGCACGAGAAGCTTGATAAATACCAAGAGCTGAAAGAGGAACTATAACTGGAGAGTTAAGATCTTAGTGGTCCCAGTGATCATTGATGGACTCTGTGACCCCTGAACTGAAAGAGAGGCACCATCTGATCACAAAAACCTTCTGTCAGGCATCATATATGAATAAACATGAGTTAATACCAACAGAAATTTTTCTGTTGATGTAAAAGAATATCAACAT